ATATATATATATATATATATATATATATATATATATGCCGACAAAGCAGTTAAAATTATTTTTTTAACATTCATGTTGTAGTCATATGAGAAGAAGTGAGGTTTGTTAATTTCACAAGATGTGTTTTATTCCTGCATGAACATTTACATATAAATAATAAATACATTTAAAAACAATAGCACTGATCTAGGTATAGATATTCTATTCCCCAAATGGTCACATTTTTTTCATTTCTTCTAAAAATGCTCAGATTTAGGGGAAAGCGCACCTGAAGGTTTGAAATTATTACACCATTTCCCTCAGAATAAATATATCAAATAAAAGGAGGTAAGCCCAAAATGCACAGTGTTTGCTGCTGACTGACGGCTTTAGGAGATGATTTTCTGTTCATGATGCCTTCATGGTGATCATTATGTACTACACAATAACTTAGTATTTTCTAAATGTATTTCATACTAAAAAAAAGAGGCAAGCATACGTCACTATGAATCATCAGCTGATATTTGTGTGCTAGATCAGTTTTGGCGAATATCAGCTGATAAGTTTTATAGAATGAACTCAAGGATTTCTCTGCTGCTTGGAAAGTGTTACAGATATTAAAAAAAAAAAGATTTTTCATATTTTTTCCACAAATATTGATAATTATTTGGTTAATTATTGTGGAAAGTAAGGAAGTATTTCTCAGTACACTCAGTATATTCTCTTGAAGATGTGAGCTGCAGAAGCTAAATGCAACTGTGCACTCATGCTGTGGTTTACTTCATAGCTCCTTTACAGTGGAGGGCACGACTAATGCTGGGATAAAAGAAGTGATGGTTTTAGAGAAAATATCTCAAAGAAATATATAGGACATGCTTTTTAGCTCTAGCTACACCCAGAAGACCTCTTCTCTTTATTGTGCTTTTATGGGGTTTAAAATCCTCCAGAAAGGCAGCATTAAATGACTTCCAATCAGGGGATGTGAGGAAACATTTATTAGCTTTGCAACAAAGGATCTGTCTGACCCATTAAACTGCATTCACCATAAAAAATAAAAAATAAATTTTTGTTTTGAGACAACAGATAAGTTCAGAATAAGATGATCCTTTAAGGAGCTAAAACCAAAATTTGCTTCATTTTGCTTAAACCAACAAAAAAAAAAACGAGATGGCAAAAAACATTTCTTCCCTAAAAAATAGGTTTCCCATTTAAACATGCTCATTTTAAAATGTTTCTTTCAGCTGCTCCCTTCTTCAGGGGTCACCACAGCAAACAAACCTGCCGTAAAGATTTAAACCAGATGTCCTCGAACGCAGCCTGGGTTCAAACCTGCAGCTTCAGGGTTACAAGACTCCAGCACTGATCACCACGCTACTGTTGGCCCTGAGTTCATTTTACAATGATATCTTCAACCATATAAATCATGTAGCAAAAACATAATAAAAAAATAAATAAAAATAAGTCATTGAATTGAAAAACAGAGGAATCTGATAGCAGACTTTGGGGAGTTCATTGTGTTTATGTGTTTATTTCCCTGCAGAAAATGAGCTGAAGGTTCAGTCACTCTGCAAAATGAAGCTGAAATTTTAGCTAACAGCAGAGACTTCAGTGATCTTTCTACTCACTAAAATAGACACGTGTGGCTAAAGTCAGAGCTAGAGCTTTCTTAACAAGTTTAAATTAACGTCTGTTCTTCTACAGTTAAGCAGTGGTTCAAAGGGATCACAATTATTATTAATGACCACAAAACTCTTTTTAACAAAACTTTTCATTTTTCAGAGACGCACATAATGCTTTGATGATGCTTTCATATCCATACAGTAGAGTGGTGCACCATCAGTCCAGAGCCTGCTATAAAGCTGAGCTTTTCTATTAGGGGACCAAATCTGACCCGTGGGTGCAGTCTGAACTACTGATGAGTTCATTTAACGTAAACTAGATTTTAAATTAGGATGATAAAAACATGAGAGGAGCATTTCAAAAATTTGATTTGGCTATAGAGATCTGTAATTTTTTTTTGTTGTCTCCTAATTCTTCACAAAACATTAAAGAAATGTTCTTCCTAAGACCCACCTTCGGAACAAGCGGGAAATTATGGATGGATGGATGTTCTTCCTAAGAACACCACCCTTTGTTCCTCCCATCCTGCTTTGTGCTTATCAGTAGTTTTATCAGTCAGTTAATATACACAACGTGCATATTTTCTTAATCATAAAAGTTTACAAAGTTGAAGCTTATCAAGGTTTATATATTTACTCTCATCATTTTTGGGTGTTGAAAATTTGCATGGCATACAAAGGCAAGAACAAGCGGTTGCAAAACACTCTTCTTTGGGGTTATGGCTCTTTGGAGATGAAATAGTTGACTTTTTTTTACCAGGTTTCGTCATCTGCATTTATAATACACAAAGCTTCACAAAGATCAAAACAAAATGTGAAATGAGTAAAGATCCAAACCCTCCTCTGCCTCCGTGTGGCAATAATGTGAATTCCTAAAATACATGTAGCTCTTCTGTTTATGTTAATTTCTTAGGGCCACATGGTTATTTAAGATCAAGCAAGCCAGACATAGAAGACGTTGTGATTCATAGAATATTTTGCTAACAGACCAACCAACTATATATATATATATATATA